TGGTGTGTGTCTCCCGCCCTCATCAGCGTCAGACCCGCCTCTGATTGTTTCCACCTGTGCCCAGTTACCTTTTGTTAATAGTCCCCAGGTTCCCTTTGTTCTTTGTCAGTTCGTCTTGTCCTGTCCCCATGCCATTACTCTGCTCTTCAGCGTTTGCTTTGGATTCAATGCCTATTTTTTGCTCCTGAAATGTATGTTAAGTTTAGTTTCTCACGTTGTGAGCAATTTCCTTTTGTTAACTTTTTTGTGCAAATAAAGTATATCAATTATGCTTTACCTCTGGCTCGCGGGTTGTGCATTTGAGTCCAATACCTTGTGTTTCCAAGTTCATGACACTTTCCATTCTGTCTGTTGTGATTTTAATTTGATTAGATTTTTACTCCAACCAACATATCTTTGTATTGTCATATAATCACACATTTGGACATAATCAAGTAAGTACAAAAAATGTGTTGACTTTTACCCTGCATTTCAGGGTACTTTGCCATGTAGAGGAAACCCCAGCACAGGGTGGTTGAAGTGGTCTCAGATCCAGCCACAAACAGATCCATGACCATGACACACATAACCAGGTTTTCATCATGAAAAGCATCTTCAGCCTGCACCTTACCCTAAGATATGCAAACACATGTGTTGATATATGCTAACAACTTTACAATTACAACACATTAACATCTGATACAGTAGTTCAGATGTAGGTGCAAAACAATCGGATATGATGTAAACAGGAATTAAACAACGAGCATTTTTATGAACAACACATCATAAGAATAACAAAGCTACATTTAGAGAAAATCACCATGTTAATCTCGTTCAGGAAGCAGTCGATGTAGTCTCTTGTGTCTGAGGGATCCCAGTTCTGTTTGTGCTTCTTAATCTCTACTCTTATGAAGTCCTTCACATCGTTCAACATGTGCTGGACTGTCTGATGAGGCCGTGGCAAACGTCTCATCAGCCGAGGGAACGTGTTGAAGAGCTGAAGAGTATAGAGCAGATTGGAAAAAACACTGCATATTGATAAGGCATTTCAGTGTTTTTACTGTAAATAATGGAAAAATCATACAAATTGATCCTTTTGCAACATGTGCATTCTTTATGTTGAGCTTTTTATGTACATATTAGATACCTGTGCAAACAGGCATGACTGATAAACTCTCACAATGAGGAATGTCTAGCACAAAATAGGTACACAGCATAAAGATTTAATTAATTATAAAATGGAAAATACTCTACCTGTGCCCAAATAGAGGCTTGAATCTGGAGACTTTTGCCAAACAACTCCATCAATAGCATGAATTTTTTTTTGCTGTACTCAAAGCGTTGACCAAAAGCCACAGAGCAAATGATGTTGGAGACAGCGTTGTTGATGAAAAGGTGTGGATTGAATGGCTTGCCTTCACAGTTAAACAGAACATTCCATGTAAATTGCATATTTATAAATCATAATATTGCACATCAGTGACTTTTGCACAATGTGTGGATTCATCCAAGATTACTGCTTCAATGGACTTCATGCCAAATCCAAAATTACGAGGGGTTGAAACTTGCTTCCACGAGTTCCCATTACTAAAACACCAAAATAAGTTAAACATGAAGTACATACAAATCTGAAAAGTTGATAAATAGTTAGGAGACTGTGTGTGTGTGTGTGTGTGTGTGTGTGTGTGTGTGTGTGTGTGTGTGTGTGTGTGTGTGTGTGTGTGTGTGTGTGTGTGTGTGTGTCTGTCTGTCTGTCTGTCTGTCTGTCTGTCTGTCTGTCTGTCTGTCTGTCTGTCTGTCTGTCTGTCTGTCTGTCTGTCTGTCTGTCTGTCTGTCTGTCTGTCTGTCTGTCTGTGTCCTGCTTTTTTTTTACTTCTTGCACCACAATTCTTTCTCAATGTTCTTCCAATGAAAGAGTGTGTGACTTCCGCAGAACTGATAAAAACACTCACACCCATAAACACACATGATGTGTGGACTCATTTGGCTTTGGAGCTTGTTTTAGCATGAATTCAGTGCAATCTTTCTTGGAATATGACTAATGATTGCACAATGACTCACATCATCTCTGTTCTCTATATCCCTCTGTTTCAGCCCT